TGTAGGGGGGACGTGAGTAGAAGAGGCCAGCTACCTACTTACTGACGCTCCGAAAAAAAGCGAACGAAAGCCTACGCGAATATATCATCCGCTTTAATAACGAAGTCCTTAAAGTTGAAGGAGGCACTGACAGAACTGCATTGACTGCCATCATGGCTGGACAAGAGATGAGAAATTTCTTTGGTCCTTAGGTAAGAAAACTCCAACTACCTTCGATGATTTCATCGTTCGAGCTCAAAAACATATGCATGCTGGAGAATTATTCAATGCCCGAGAGAATCCGGGAAATGCTGCTCAAAGCCCCGAGACAAAAAATGAGAGGCAGACCTTTAGGCAAAATCCTAAAAAAAGGGCAAAAGCTTACTACCAGCCTAAAGACCGGCAATTCCAGAAAAACATTCGAAGATATACCACAACAACTGTACCAGTAGAGTATATCTGGATGGAAATCAAGGATAAGAATCTCCTCAGGTGGCCTGCTAAAAGACAACAGGAAAATTTTCCCCGAGATCAAAGCCGTTACTGTTTATTCCATAAAAAAGCTGGACACAACACTGCTGAATGTGTTCACTTGAAAGAAGAAATGGAGACCCTGATACAACAAGGGTATCTTCAAGAGTTCGTAGATATAAGAGGAAGAGGTAATCGCTCTTCTCCGCATAATGGACCGCTAGCATATCAGCAGCCCAATCCGCATGAGATCCGGACGATATTTGGCGGACCAGCTGAAGGAGAATCAAGTAGAAAGAGAAAAGCTCGGGCTAGACAAGCACGACATGAGCCTTATGACCACATTGTCTACACATCCGCTCACAAGGACCCGACACGCGCATAATAATGTTCTCTGGAATTTCATAAGTGAAACAATAAAAATCCCGAGTACTCTGACTAATAGTGGAGCGAATGCTGGCGGGCCCAGCAGCTAAGTATCGGTTTGGAGATGTCATCGACAATTGTGATACCTCATGAGCTACAGTAATGGTGTCTATGATCGAACAACTTATATCAACCCCATTTGGTCGTACTACAGCTGTATTCACTCGCTCTAATATAGCGGTAATACCAGCACAGTTCAGATATAAACTATCAGGTTCGTCTGAAGTCCTACCTGAAAACTCACCGCTCGCTACCCCAATAGTCGCTCTCTCAGCCACCGCCTCAGCAAAAGAACATTCTTCGGTATCTTCCCCAACCCTCGAGATCCCTACATCTAAGGAAGGTACGGGAGAGGGAAGCCTAGCTGGGTCAAAGAGTTCTAAAGAGTCAAATGTAAATTCTTCGTAATAAGGGTCTAAGGGGGTAACGGCTACCAAACTCCCTAACCCAAAATCCTTCATATTGCGTTAGAAAAAGAGTAAAAGATCGAAGAGTTACCTTGAAAATACCTTGCCAAAATTGCCTCCAAATGAGCTTCTCAAAGGAAAAGAGACTAGAAAGAACCTMAGGAATGCCTAACCAAGTGACTTCAAGGATGCCTAACTAGATGCGTAAAAGGTGGACGACGTCTCTGGTTGCCCAATAAACTACACTATGCTCCTAGAACCGTCCAATAAACCGCCCAACCAGGTGCCCTGACTACGGCCAATCCTAATAGTCCGCTAAAAAATCCTTCAAAAAACGTACAAATCGCGCGATAAATTCCCTAAAGCCTCAAAGATGCTCAATAAACCGCACTGTTGTTGAGAGGAAAAAAAACAAATTTTCAAACAAGATATGTACGAAAAGGATGACGTGATACCTTTTTGTGTACCTACGTGAAGACCACGTGCCCAAAAGAAAGCAGCAAGGTGCGGCTCTAAGGAACGATATTGCGAATAATATTCGACGGCCAAAAGGAGAATAGTGTGAAAATGGATCCTATTTTAAGCAACCAGGACATTTTAAAGTGCCCATGCCCACAAGAATAAAAGAGCACTTTATGTGCGCTGGTTGCACAATGCTTGGCATTATGCCACGCATTGTGCAACACCTCCCTCCCAGCCGCACAATAAAAGACTGGGTCGCACCCCCTTTTCAACCACTTTCTTTGACCACCGCCAATGAAGCCGTCACCATAGTGCATATATTGAACACAAGGAACCCATCGACGCTTTTGTGCATCTATTGGTTTCATTATAGAGCCAATTGTAGAGCGGTAATCAACTTTGACAAACTTYCTTGACTTTTCCAACGCCTGTTCACACTGCAACCAAAACCTATAAATGGAAGGAAGGTATGTCATTCTCTCTCAAGCAATTCACTCGAAATTTGCTCATTTCCTCTCTTCCCCGCTTAAAGCTCATCAACTAACTTAAGCATCGGAGTGTGGTCGGCCGACAGCACACCGGTGTTTATTATCTTCCCCGTTTAATCTTTATCCAACTGTTGATGCAATATTTGGGAACTCGGGTCGGGTCAAACGTCGGGTCGAGCGAACCAAGTAACCCAAGGAATCGACCGTCAAAATTTTGGATAAAGATTTGATTTGGAAATCTGGAAAAGCTTGGATCTGCAATAAAAAAGAAAATAAGAGAATAAACATCGGTGTGGTGTCGATTGACCACAATCTGATGCTTAAGTCAGTTGATAAGCTTTAAGTAGGGAAGAGAGGAAATGAGCAAATCTCGAGGGGGAAAGTTGGACGGCACGTTTTCTCTCTTTTCATTCTTCATCTTCTCCTCTTCTCTCTTTCTTCCTCCTGCCATTGTTGTTTCTTTTTTACCAGATCTCTTCTTATCTTTACCACTCCTTTTTCTTAATTTGGTAAGTTGAAATAAAAATGAAAAAAAAAACCTATAAACGAGATGAGAGTAAAAAGAATTTAAGGGTTTGGGAAATTATGGAAAGTTAAAAAAATTTTAAATCAATTTTATCCTCAAATCACGGCACAGACCAAATACCAAATTTTAAAAACCTCTCCTCCTCTCACCAAAGCATAAGTTAGGGTTTTCAGCTTAAAATTTCGATGATGAAGTAGCACGTAGAAGAAAACAAGATTCAAGTTTGATCTCTCTCGCTCTTGGTGGTCAGATCTCGCTCTCGCTCTCAATGTTCACATCTCGCTCTAGCTCTCAATGTCGGTTTTGGGCAAATTTAGAGTACGATTTTGGTGCAGGCGGTCTATTGCGCAGCGTGGGTTTCAGATTTGAATCAAAGTAGAAAAAAAGAAGGAAACTTAGGTGTAAAATCACACATTCTTCTCCTGTCTCACCGGATTTCTCATTGTTCAACCGACCCCACATTACCTCCGTCAAATCCCCTCCCTTCGACGGCTCCGATAATTTTACCCAGAAAAATAAAAGTAAATTCTCACGCTTATTGAGTATGAAAATCAAATATGAATATGAAAAAAAAAATGTCAAAAGAAAGTGAAGCCATGACCGCTAATATTGGGATTTTCTGATTTCTCGAGGATGAAGATGAAGGTAATTTTATAGGTGATGGTGCCATTTTGGTTCTTTAGATAACAAAAAAAACAAAAACAAAAAAAAATGGGAGAACGAGAGGAGAGATCTCTCTATTACCAAAAAGATAAAAATGAAAAGAAAAAAAATTTGTTGTTTGGTTTTAAGTTCTACCATTGTTGAATGAAAAAGAAAAAAGAATAATTACAAAAGAGAGGGAAGAACAGAGAATAAAGAATGGATGGAAAGAGAAATAATGGTAAGAAGAAGGGAGAGAGAACGTGAAAAAAGGTAAGAAGGGTGAACAAAATGACATAAGCCCAATCTCGCTCTCACTCTTTAAAATGTCTATTCAACCAAAAGCCCTTCTATTCTTCCCCGCATCTCCAACCTCCCGCGCCCTACCACCGCCACCGTCAAGCGCAGGAACTTCTTCCGCTTCTTCATCTCCCAATCCCCATGGTGGGACAAAACCTCATTCTCCTCTCTACCAGATTTATACCTTTTAAGTAAGTAGTATTTGAATGCTTTCAACTCAACTCCTCTGGGTACCATTTTTGGCAAATTCAATGTAAAAAATTTCGATCTTTTCCAATTTTTTTCAAATGGAGCCAGAGTTTTGCACTCATAATTCACTTTTTCGATAAGATTCAATATCTTTGGCACCTTCAAAATTCGTTTTTTTTTTCATCCTCTGTTTTGTCAATTGGTAACTATTTTTTTATCAGCATTTGAGTTTTCCCATTGATTTTGGATTCTGGCCTTTTTTAGGCCTTTYGAATTTTGGGTTCGCTGAAATTTTGTGGTTTGAATTAAATTTTATGATTTGGTTCGGGCTTCCTGGTTCCACACGAAGACCGTCGCCGGTGTCCGAAATTTAGAGATTTCTTTCTTATTTTTTTAATTTAGAGTTGTAATTTTATCAAAGGGTTTAATTTTTACGGTTGATAGGAGTTTAATTTTTACTATTGAAAGTTAAGGGGTCTCATTTTTTCATCTATGAAAGTTTGAGGGTTTAGTTTTTCCAATTGAAAGTTTAAGGGTTCAATTATAACCACCCTACCTTATGAGTGGTTTTTACAATTTGCCCTATTTTTTTTAGTTCAACTTCGTGTTCTTTGATCAACAAAGTAATCTATTGTCTAATCTTTTTTGACAGCAACAGGTTCTCCTGTAGTGGAAAAGAGTTTTTATGTGCAATGCCCTCGGGTTTCACATCTCTTCACAGGGAGGCCATTACACAATAGATAAAGTCAAATGTAAACTATTTAAACAATATCGCCTTCGAGCCAACCCTTTTTTTTTAACCTTACTTGAACAATATGGCATTATATCTCATAGTTCAAAGGGTCAAGTGGCCGTCTTTGGCGTAGACTACTCAATATTTACCTGTGAATTAAGAACTCCATACAAGTGACAAAATTTTGTTGGAATAAGCATAAGTATTACTACAGTAAAAAATTAAATTTATACTGGTGACACCTTTCTAACTCAAATGGTCAGAGTTTCAAATTGCAGTATAATTTTATGCTACCAAAGTTAGATGCACTAAAACTAGATGCAAGCGATACCCCATTACTATATATCTTATGCAAAGTTTCTTGTAGTGACACATCATTTATGATCTAAATAACTTTATTCAAATGATTATGCGATAAAATGAATAATATAACATTATCAACTCGAAAGAAATAAATATGCTTTGAAGAGATCATGTTAATCCCCGCAATAATATCTTCCTTCTACAACTAAAAATACTACATTTTCTAAAAGGTTACCTTCCATGAATCTCTCCAATCAAATTGATTTCAATTGGGTTCTAGATTGCCTAATTTCCTTGGCTTCATGAACAAGAGGACAGCCATGAATATAAGTTATAATTATGCCTGAAATGAATCAAAGTAAAATTTCAGTTTTCAAATGATTAAATAAATACTAATAAGATGAAGAATTAAAATGGTTCGATTGCAAGTTTGGTCCCAAAACTTTCAAGCATGTGTCAATTTAGTTCATATACTTGAATGTCCCTGACTTTTGAGCTTCTCTATCTAGTCTTCTTTAAGAAGTTTTTAATTCTCTATCTCATTGCATCCACGCTTGCAGGCCACCCATTTAAAAAGGAAAAAAAGCTTCTCTGGGTGAATTCCATTCGAGCTTTCTTTTGCTCCTTTGAAGAGAAAGAAATCAAAGAACTTTCAACGCCAAATTTCTCCCTTACGAGCGGTTTTTTGATGCTATAGTCTATCTAGTTATTACATGGTGTAAAGGCTCTCCTCTTTTCCATCACTGTAGTTACTCTTCCCTTATAGCCAAATGGGAGTGCTTCACGTAGTCCCTCTATGGAACTTTTGTAATTTCATACTGTCAATGAAATTGTTTCTTTCACAAAATTGGTCTATGAAGTTTTATATTTGTGTCTAAAGGTCTCTATCATCCTTTAGAAAAAAAAGTCTCTATCCTTTAACTCTATTAGTTTAAGAATTATGTAGCATGTTGGTAACGTAAGTGTAAACAAATAAAATTCGCAATAGGTACCCGGTTGACACAAAATTTAAATTTACCTTTTGTAGCATATATGGAAAGAGAGAATCGGCGAATTTTTGAAGATAGGATGTCAGATAGATTCTTTCTGGAGTAGTGCCCAACATACCCCTCTTGTGGTGCTCAAACTACAAGAACTTCTTTTATAATTATAGCATTCTCATCGCTATCAAA